TACTTTTTTTTTTTCATTTTGGCAATTGCGGCCCAAAATGAAATTGAAAATTGAGTTGGATTTGGACTCGGGTTCTGACCTAACCTGTATGAGTCTTCTTCCAGGTACATTGAACCTTGGCGTGTTGACTCCACCTAACTCTTTCAGGTGGGAGTAGTGGTGTGATAACAACTGAAAATGGTAAAATTAACTCCTGACGGTTGTCTTTCTGGGCCTATTACAGCAGCCTTAAGCGGTTGTTACCTGCATTAAGTGGCAAGTGAGTCGTGACTATTGTCTTTCTGGGCCTGGGCGTGTGACTTGGGACTTAGATCTTGGTACTTGGTACTTGAACTATGAGTTGGACTTGGGCGGCCTTAGACGATCTGGGCTGGTCTTGGGCCTTAAACCGTGGACCTCACCCTTATATTCTTTTTGCAATTGTGGCCCAATATGAAATCTAAACCGAGTAAGGTTTGGAGTTCTGACCCAACCTATACGAGGCTTTTTTCAGGTACATTGAACCTGGACGTGTTGACTCCACCTGGATGTTTCAGGTGGGCATAGTGGTGTGATAACATCTGAAACCGACAGGATTAACTTCTGACTATATCGGCCCATTAAAACAACTTTAAGTGGGTTGTTACCTGCCTTAAGTGGCAGTTGACTGTTGTCTTTCTCCTTCTGAATTGAAAGTCCTATAAATAGGACATAGTAGAGCAGTAAGAGGGGACACAACATCATCTGATCATCTGCATACTCTAAAACCTCACGCATCATATACGTACTGCACAATTCACTTCTCCGTTCAAGTTCGTCGGAGCTCGAAAGTTGGTGTGCTACAGCCATCGAGACGTCAATCATTGTATCTTTAGAGATGAAACGTCTGAACTCGTAGCACATTACGAGACATATTCGTCTTGCGGAAAGAGCAACACTCGCCTCAACTTGTCCTTCCACTTTTAGTTTGTAGTTTTGTTTTTTGTTTTATAGTTCAAATTGTAAGAAGTAAAAAACATCAGCTTCAATTCATAGGTTTCTTGTGTATTTAATACCAAAAGCTGCTCACATATACAGTGGATTCACAGTTTATTTTATAGATAGATAAATATGTAGTAACTAATTAAATTTATTATTTTATTGAAAAAAAATGAATGGGAAAAATTGAAGAAATATGAAATGAATAGAATAATTGGGAATTCAAAGTAAAAATACCAATGCTACAGCAACGCTGCATAGTTAACATCGTCTCTACAAAAGAAAAAAGCCCGAGGAAAAAAAAAAAGAAAGAAAGAGAGAAAGAAAAGGGAATAAAAATAAAAATTAAAAAAAAATGGTGGATTTCAAAGCAACCCACGAAACTGTTTTAACTAAAGCATTGATTGCAACAAACGCCGCATTTTCCTTTTTCACCAAAAGCATAACCGCATCACCCAATTTTTACTTGATATTTTTTCTTTTTTTGTTACAATNTTTCATAATCATTTTTCTTGAAAACTGGTTTGAATTCGACAGATTGAGTCTTTTTTACCTGTTTTCAATCGTCGTCTCCAAGTAACTGAATCAAGATTTGCAGACCAAGCTCCCACCTTTCATGGCCATATAGGTATATAGCAAAGCAGCTGAGGAAAAGGGATCACATCATGTTGCCAGCTGTTCAGACTTCATCCCCTCGGCATAGCCTTTCTTCAAGAAACAAGGTCTCTCTCTCTCTCTCTCCCCCCTCTCTCTCTCTCTCTCTCTCTCTCGTTGAAAAAAACTGTGTGCAGGTCCAAAACACCATTGGGCCCGGCCCAAACTTCCTCGACAAGCTCCCCTGCCATCTCTTCTACGCGCACCTCCTCCTAATCACGGCCCTCATAGCCTTCCTCGCTATCCGGGCTGCCCTCTTCCCAGGCCCGGCCCGAAACTTCCACCCAAGAATATGGTACGCCATAACCCTCTCCACAACTGCCCTGTCAGGACTCTCGGCACTCTCATATCAAGCACTCGTAAACCTCAGCCCCTCAAAAACCTTCAAAACCACATTCTGGCTAAGCCCGCTCCTCACCTGCGCGTACGGCATACTACTCGTCTTGATAGGCACTCCCACGAGCCTAGCAGCTGGAGTCCTCACGATAATCTGTTCGGTCACACAATCTCTCTACGCTTGCTGGGCCAGCCCAAGATTTACCCACGCCACGAAAATCCTCTCGATTTCCCTCGCATACCAGCCTCCGAAAACGAAATCGGCCGTAATCATATCCGTCTGCGCTAGCATTCTCTTCTCGTCTCTACTCATGTCCGGTTTAGGAAATTCAACAACCAAGCTCGAACCTTTATTCGTTTTCTTGATCCTCGCAAGCCTTGTGTGGACAATGCAGATAATCAAGAACACGATGCAAGTCGCAGTCTCGCACGTCAAGTACATGCAGTTCGCATGTGGGGTGGAGGTCGATTTCGGGCCGGTCGCGAAAGCCACGGCCCGGAACTCGATGGGGAGCATCTGTGCAGGCTCGATTCTCGTGCCAGCTGTCACGGCTGCCCGAGCTGCGGGTCGGGCCGTGGGGTCCGTTTCTGGGGATTCGGACGAGTTCATGTTCTCGTGCGCGGGATGTTGCGTGGGGGCTTCATCGAGGGCTGTAGCGTACGGGAATAGGTGGGGATTTGTACATGTTGGGGTGTATGGGAAGGGGATTATTCGGGCCTCAGGCGACACGTGGGAGATGTTCGGGCGGGCTGGGATGGAGGATTTGATTGACCGTGATCTCACGAGCTCGTTTTGCTTCCTGTGTGGGGTTGCGAGTGGGGCTGTGTGTGGATTGGTTGGTGGGGTTTGGGCGCTTTTCGTTCACGGGAGGTTTGCGACGGAAGTTTCTGTGTACGCTTTCTTGGTTGGGTATTTCACGGTGCGTGAGATCACGACTTTCGACCTTTCAAGGTACGTGTTTTTGGTATGAACTTGTTGTAAATCTAATTGCTGCTGCTGTGTATTGTGAAATGCAGAATAGAGTGGCAATGGCATGGATACAAGCTAGTGTTATGGCGTATTATGTTGCTTATGCGGAAAATCCACAAAGCCAGCAGTTTGATGATACTATCCCAGCTTACATCAGGCAGCTTCAAAGATCACAAGTGTGAGTAACAGGCACTGAGGAATTTTTGTTACAGCTGAAGAACTATACACAACACACAAGGAGATGGAGTCTAAACTTTTTTCTATTAGTTTTATCTAGAGAATGTGCATATGTAGTCAGAAAACGATATGGCATGCAAATGGCAAGGAACAAATCTTGCTATGTCTTTTCATAGGTTTAGAACGAATGATTCAACTGAAGGATGTGCTACTTCTTGTGACTCTTGATTTTGTATGAGCTTTTGCTTAGTAATTTTCAGTTAGTTTGAGTGGAAGAGTTGCAATGATTTTTACTGGCTTAAAAAGTTGGTACGTTTCTTATCCCAGGCTTTATATCTTATTTCCTTTATTTATTTATTTTTTTTTCACGCATTAATCAAGCAATGTCGGTCGGCACAAAGAGCATATGATGCATACAAGCTGTAGATGCAGGCAAGGAAATTTACTCCTTACATTAATTTTTGTCCCATGTAGGTACATTTTCAGGAAGGGGAATAAAATCCTATCAAGATTCCAAAAAACATCTAATATTGCCACTAATAAATTTCACTTCGATTCATCTTCTGATACAATAAACATCTAATATAAAAGCATAAATATCTTGATGAATTCTAATCAGATATTTGCATTTTTGGTAGTAGCTGTTTCACATCCTAGGATGCAACTAGTATGGTGAGAAGCAAACCTTGTCCACGAAGCCAGTTCAAATATGTCCCCGGCCACCACATTCCGAGCACATTGTATTCCCCGTTCCTCCACAACCTGAATGTTAAACCGAGGATAGGTTAAAATTCTAATCACTTTGATCAAAACATTACTCCATGCCTCATTAATTAAGAGTTTTAAAAAGCTAATTGATCTGCCTAACATGTCCTATACGGTCTTAATGAATTCCTAATCCTACTTCTTAACGCATCATTTTCAGAGAATAACGATTTCCCTCATTCATAATTGCAATTTCAGGCCGTAACTTTTAGGGGTTGATGATTTTTCGCCTAGTAACTTCTGAACTTCCAATTCTATAAGTTAAAGATACTTAAGGTAGTTTGGAGAAAGTTGACTTATTTAGCGGTTTTCCATATGGTTCTTGTTTCATTGAATTCTTTGCGCAAAAACAAATAACCAAAACAGTTGCATATTTGATTATTTTCTACTCATCGTTATCAATCAAAAGGCAAACAAAAGTGGGGAAAAGCAATGGTGGCTGATTTTGTAGGTAGAACATTCAAGACTACAATGGAATCAAGAATCCCAATATACATAATATTATTTAATCCACCAAAAAAGCTCTTAATTCCACAAGCAGGGAGTAACACTCATCTATTCATATTTACTCTAGCATGTACCATTACTTAGAGAATTATAATCACAATCAGCAAAAAGGCCAAACTAGAAAACTTCTTTATTAGAAATCCTGTTAGGAGGTTTACCTAAACATCGAACTTTCACAGTTATCCCTTGGCTCTCCAAGATGGAGTCCACGTATAAGCCTGAACCTGAACAAGTGGCGCAAAGAATTGCCCCTTTTGTCTGACAGCTAAGACATCGAGGATTTTTCCCAACATCTTTCTCGGGTAGACATGCACCAACAGGTTTCTCAATTATTTGCTCGGGAATAGGCTTATCGTAACAAAAGAGAGATTCAAGACTACTTATTTGCCTCTGCACATTCCCAGCAGCACACTCCACCGCCTGAAATTTCGTGTGATGTCCTAATGAGTAAATTCGGACAATGGGCAGACACAGAGTAAAGATATACGATACAGTGGGTCATTGACAGTCATTTTCATACGCACATTTTCTAATAAATCCTGCTATAACGACAATATATCATGATCATCCCAAAACCAATTAGGAAAGAAAAAAAAAAAAAAACATCATCTTGCATACAGAACAATCTCACAACCAATGCTAAGTATAGCAGCTAAGCAAACCTTAATTTCATCAATCAAGCATCTCCATGCTCATGCGAGAAGATAAAAGAACATGACGATTATTTAATGAATGCTCCGAGTTGTTTTTCAATCTCCATTTCCAAATCACACTAATTTGCACATTTACTCACCTCATTATCAACAACCCCATGAGCTAGAATTTTCAGGGACTTACCCGAGAGGCGGACGAACGAGAAGAAGAGAGCAAGACGGCGCCGTTCCGAGGATCTTTGTTACCTATCCTGGTAAGAAACCTCGAATTCTTTGACAGACGATAATGTGAAGGGGAAATGTTGGGCAGTAGTGAGCAACAAGCCGAGGAGACTGCAACCTTCTTTAAGAACATACTTGTGTGTAACCGTGTAATACACGGGAACAATATTATAAATAGACCTCGAGTTTGAATCATTTAATGGCAAAAATGGAAACTACTATTGATCCTATTTAAAAAGAGGAAGAAAAAAATAATTATAAATTAATAAAGAGGATAAATAATATTTAATAACTAGTGTGCACCCCGTGCGATGTACGGGGACAATATTAAATTAACAATATTATAAATAGACCTCGAATTTGAGTCACTCAATGGCGGAAATGAAAACTACTATTGATCTTATTTAAAAAGAGAAAGAAAAAAATAATAATTATAAATTAAAGAGGATAATAAACAATACTTAATAATTATAAATTACAGAGAATTCGGAGTCAAACAATGTAAAAAGGAAGTGGAATTTCGAAAACGTTAGCCAAATATTTCAAATAAAATTTGAGGAGAAAATAAATATTTGAGCAGGAAAAATGACAAGTAATTTTCGATTTTTTTCATGATTTTTTCTTAACTGTATTATATAGTAATAGATGTAAAACAATATGTCTAAACAATTTGTTTAAAGTATCTAAAATATTATAAGTCTATATAAATATTATGTGTTAATAATATTTTTAAAAAAAATATTCATAATTAGATAGGTGAAAAATAATTTTTAAAAAAAATCTTATTATTTAACATAAATAATATATTTATTTATAGTTATAATTAGAAATTAAAGACGTGTTTGCAGTTTGAATTCAATAAATATTGTGCTAACACTAAGAACAATATCCAAACCAAAACCCAACAATTTTGCACGCATTAGATGATGATTGAAATAAACATAAAAAGTGAGCTGCCCCAATAATCATGGTCCGATTTTTATGGCTTCAAGACGTGTATGCAATTTGGAAATTTGAATTAAATAAATAACCCTACAATTTAGCATGCATTAAATAATGAATGATTTTCAATTTGAATTCAATAAATATCCCTACAATTTAGCACGCATTAAATGATGAATGATTAAAATATTAAAATATTTCCACAAATAGTATGAAATAAATGTAGTCTGAAATTTACTACTTACTATTTTTGGTAAATGTTAATTCTTATTATTATATATAGATTATAAATTAAAGATTCAGGGTAAAACAATGTAAAATTATTTTGTATAAGAGAATATATAAAAAAAATTTGATTATACACTATTTTAAAATTATTAAATACTTCTTTGTATGGTTATCTTATAATATTTGTAAAAATATTAGTAATTAGACTGCTTCTTAAAATAGATAATAGAGTGATAATTCGTACACATGAAAAATATTGGAATACATAATTTTTCAATAAATCCAAAATTATTTTTTTCTCATTTTAATTTAATATTTATTTTAGAAAGATTGGTTGAATCAATTACCATTCTTTTAATAGAATGTTGATAAATTACTTTAAAGTACTTGTATAAATTTTAATAAAATATTTACTAAAATTTTCACTAGATTAAATTTATTATTTGATAGGCATAATATAATCTAATTTCTAGAATATTTTTTATTGATAAAAAATTGAATATATATATATATATAAATATATATATTACACAATATAGTATGTTTTAGACTAATAATAATATAATACATATTACATACTACTAGATACCAGTTGTTGGTGGGTTTAATCTAATAGCTTTCACTTTGATCATTTTCCAACTTCAATAATAATTGTGAATTCAAACCAAAGTGAGAAATACCGAGACACATTTTCCAACTTTCATTTTGATAATTTTCCAACTTCAATAATAATTGTTGTGAATTCAAAACCAAATTATTGTAATGAGTTATTCGTGGAAATACTGATGAACATTTACCAATATGGTGAACAATGAGTAGCATCAATGGAAAATACTTACTTTTTGTTTTTAGAAGTAATGTAAAATAGTTATTTTCATCCTATGATACACTATGAATTATATTAGTAATAGTTTGTATGCTACACTATTCATCATATTATAATTTGTATGTTTTTAAAAATATAGTAAAATCCTATTGTAATTGAATAAATTTAAAATCGGTTAATTACTCCAAAAGTTATAATGTTTACTATATTATTTTTGTAAAGTTCACCGAAAAAAAAAACTAAAAATAAACAATACTAATAGTTAAATAAAACTTATCGTCACGGCAATGAAAAAATTATGGGGAATTTAAAGAAAATCGAAATAAAGCTACAAATAAACAATACAAACTACTCAACCACCTATATGACCTTATGGTAAGAAACTCTGAATAATTTATTTATCTGCACCTAAATATGAATAGGACCATATCGCATGTCTATGCAGAATCCAACTATTGGAAGTCTTTGTTCTTAGCTCAAAGTGTACTTGCAAAGACAAACATATATAACCATGTAGCACCGCGTCTACTTTCTAGTTTCTACTAGACTTATGAAAATTAGAGTAAAATTTTTTGTTTTTTATTTTCGAAAACTCTTACTTTATTTTTCGAAAACACTTTATCTTACTCGCGGGATGCTACTTAACTTACTCACTTACTTTATTCTTTCTTTACTTCGAAAACAACATGCATGCAACCAAACAAAATAATATTCCACTCCCGGGATAAAGTACTACGGAAATACTGGAATCAAACATGCAGTAGTCTAATGTCTCATAATCTCATAATGCGGAAGCTAAAACATGCTCACACACACATAGTTCGCAAAACATGTTCAAATATCGCATGACATCATAAATGTGTTTTTCAAAATATCCGTTAGCTCTAGACTATAACCACCAAGCTTACTCACGCGCCACGCTGGACTCCGTCACCTAAAAAAATAAAAAGAAAGTGGGGGGCGTGAGCATAAAGTCCACGTGCTCCGCAGAAACCGACAATGGATATACATCAACCATAATAACAATATCATGACATTGGCATATATACATCTGACTGAACTCTTTCTAACTCCCGGACACTTGGTCGATAAATCATGTACACACTTTGATGGGATAAATTAAGCACACTGGGGCCCAACAAAAACCTGGATTATGGACATTTGGCCTCCATCCATGCGATTTGACTAGAAGGACCTAAACTCATAGGCCATTACCCGCACTAGGGGAAAAAATACACACATATCTCAGACATGGTAACGCGATTATAGACAATAAAATACCCAGTATGGGGCCCCACAGGGTCCCCACCTGATAAGCTGATAATGCAAGTGCTGGAACTGAATGTGTAGTTAGCGGAGGCTCGACTGTCCTCAAGCTACAAGTACAAAATATTTAAACAAATATATTCTAAGTCTTTTGCTCAACTTATAATACTCGGTTCTTTAATTATACTGATCATATTCAGTTGTTCGCTCGCTTGGTTTTAAAACATTTAAACCTCAATTTAGCTATCCTGATTGGTATATAAGGAACTCAAAAACCAAAGGACATGTCCATTAGCAAATATGGTGGATAATGAGGAACTAAATGCAAAGGTCACAACAGCTGCTAATGAAAATTATTAAGCACATGTCTGGTCCACAAAGTGGAGTTGCATCAACTTTCTCTCATTTTGCAGATTAGGTAATATCAACCATTATGATTTTCTTTTTTGAGTAACTTTAAGCTTGTCATCAGGTTAGCTGCTGCTACAATTCCTATCACTATGTGATCGGACTAAACTAAGTACCAAGGATCCTCAACAATGAGTACACAGGACAGCTCGTCGACGACAACAGCAGGGAAAGAAAGTAGCATCAACACCTTCCTCGTGTCAAAAGTTACCAGAAGACTATCCGGTTGAATCAAACTACTTCATAAAACTTGATGCAAGGGTCAAATCATAATTTGTATGTACTGTAATAGTATTCAAATGATATTAATATAGTACATATTCAGAATATGTTGATAATGTTCCATCAAAATACCTACTCGGACATCTTAAACATATACTTACAAAATACACACATCTAGACTGAACAAAATACAGTGCACTGATCTAAGTACGTTCTTTGCGCGTGCGTCGATTATATCTATGTTTATCAAAACTTTATATTGTCTAACCGCAATATCATCTTATGATGGGATCCTTTTTACGCAATCATTCAAGCCCGTCTGTTCTCCCATATAACGGAAATTAAAACTTTTTACAATAACGTACGGACTCATCTTGACTTCAGACCTATTACTCTTCTGAATACTATCTTCTCAAAAATTCTGCTTAAAAAAATAAAATAATAGGACTAGTATCAGTGAATAAAATTGTACCTTCAAGTTTTATTTTATTTGGGGACGTCGATCGTGCATCATGATCATAAAATGAGTTGGATAAAATGAAATTCAAACTTCCACAACAAGTTAGTATCCAATACAGATAACAGAGATAGTATACTACTCACAAACGGGTACCATACGCATTCCTCAATGGTACTATGTTCATCTACGAGAAATAGACATAACCAAATATAAATATTTGGTAGATATGAACAACAAAAAATAATTTTATTGACACTTTTGGTGAATATGAAGAATAAAAGCTCGATCTTAGAAAAAAAAAAAAAAATACCTTCACATTCGATTCCTAAAAAAAAATTCTCACCCTTAAAATGGCTCAGATTCATAATACCAATTCATAACGCTAGTAAGGAAACACAAGACCTCAACTGTAATAAAGGAACTCTCGTTTGGTCATTCATTATTGCCAAAACTAGTGTGTATCCCGTGCGATGCACGAGAACAATATTAAATTAACAATATTATAAATAGACCTCGAGTTTGAGTCACTAAATAGCGGAAGTGGAAACTACTATTGATCCTATTTAATGAGGAAGAAAAAAAATAATTACAAATTAAAGAGGAGGATAAACAATACTTAATAATTATAAATTAAAGATTCGGGGTCAAACAATGTAAAATTATTTTGTATAAGAGAATATAAAAAAATTTGATTACACATCATTTCAAAATTATTATTATACTTTTTTGTATGGTTAGCTTATAATATTTGTAAAAATATTAGTAATTAGACCGATGAAAATTAGCTTCTTAAAGTTGATAATGGATTTATAGTAGTAATTATGAATTGGTTTCTATTTTATTTTATTTTTTCTTTTTAAAGATAATGGATGGATTTATAGTAGTAATTATTAATTGGTTTCTATTTTATTTTATTTTTTCTTTTTAAATATAATGAATTTCTAGTAGTAATTATGAATTGGTTTCTATTTTATTTTATTTTTTCAAATCTGTATAGATAAGTGATGAGATTTTTTAAATGTATGCAATGGGATTTTATAACAGAAGAGATAAGCTCGTGTAGATTTATACTAAAAATAGAAAAAAGAAAAACAAATATTTACTGTGTTTTGATAAACTAAAAAACATGACAAAGAGAAACAAATTTTTACACAATTAATGAGTCGATTTTTTTTGCCTCTTCAAATTTGTCCAACAATAAGATATATTTAATGATTTTGGCGGGAAAAAATTTCTAAAAAAGTTACTCTTTTTATATAAGTAATAGATAACATCCATTAATGAAATGATCTAATCATGATCACCAACCTAAAACAGAAAACCTCTCTGAGGACAAACATCAAACACATTATGCTCAACAACAGTCGTATACATAAATGTCCAAACTTTCGTAAATAAGTTGTGCCAATCAATCATTAAAAGTCAATATCACCTGCATCAAAGCTTCCGGTAGCCATCGTAAACCAATTTCACATTCAGACAGTCGCTTCAGGGAGACCATGGTATCCGAGATTGTATCGTTTTCCGGCTCCAATATGGGGTACTTCTCGAGCAGCTCATCCATACGCAGGATTCAGGTCAAGATGAAGTCCAGGTCGACCCGAATTGTAGAGCTCTGGACGTCGGTGCAGCCTTTGTAGAAGCCTAATTCTTCGTCTACCTCAAACCCCGTCTTCAGGCCCACTTGTCGGCCCTTCTCCTTGCCGGCGATTAGGTCTTCGGCGTAGCCCTCGCCGTAGGGCCCGTAACCCTCTTTGAAATGGGTCTCCTCCAAGTTCAAAGAGGACGCGAAAATGTCTTTGATGTCGCCGTCCGTGCAGAGGCCGCTATAATAATTCCTGTTTTATCAATGGAAAAGGCAAGTTTGGAGTTCGCCGGAAAAAAACACGAGCGGAGTCCGCCAGAGTTTTCCCCGTCCATCTTTCACTGAAAATCTTTACGACTGTCTTTTGCCGGATTTATTCATGTCCGTTGTTCACACCGCAACACCTGCAAAGAAGGGAAAAAATCGGATTTTGTATTTTTTTTTTCAATGTTATGGAGTTGGTGGAAGTGAAAGTTGACAATAAAGAGTGCAGAAGGAAAAAAAAAATAAAATACAAATTGGGACTGAGCATACTTGGATACAAAATTTCTCAAAAAAATCGAAACATATTTAACTCAATTATTTTTTTAACTCAACCCCACTATCATCAATATTATCAATATAGTTAAATAATATTATCAATCATTTTTACACACCACCTTACCTTAATTTACTATTTATCCAATCACATAATTTTAACTAACAATCACTTCAAATCTTCTCTCTACTACTTTACATCAAATCAACTTTAATTATTTTATTTAAATATTATTCTAATATATCCACTAACAACTAACCATACCAACCTTTTCAAAATTAACCAAATCAAACAAAAAAATCCAAACAAAATCAAAAATTTTTATATCCAATCATTGTGTTTGATTGTATATTATGATAATTTTGTTCTCTCCTAGATGACACCATTTTTTTGCCTAACATTTGTTGGAAAGGAATGTGGCACTTTCATCACTCATTCAACTTGTTTATTTGTTTTCTATTATTATTCCTTTCATTTTAACCTTATCCACGCAACCAAAAATTCTTGCTACCAACATGTCCTCAATCCTCATGCGCCATATGCTCACATTATCTTGTTAGATATCTTATCTCATTTTTCCCTCAATAAAGATGAAGAGTGTTATCCTCTCTCTACATTGCATTATTGACTGTTATTATTGAACTATCAAATCATGAAACCCAAATTTAGAAATAGAAAAAATCACATCTTGTTGCACTCAAATGCAATTATCTTTGATAATCTAATGTTGCATTTGGACGGAAGATTATTGTGGCCTCTGGGACATCTGGGATTGGAGAGCCATTGGACGTATTATTTCAGTTTCGTATTGCCTGATAAATATTTTCCATTGAATTTAAGATAATTTCTTTTTTTTTTATTTTAAAAAAAATTATTATTTGTCTAATTCTCTTTGCTCTCTTCAATCATATCAACACTTTACAATAAAATTTATTAATTATTTTTTGACTCTCATATTTTTTACTCAATCATTTACATTATTTTTATACTATTTTTCTATCGATATCATTATATTTTATCTTATATCTTTTCACAATCTCAAAATTATTTCATTCTTCAATCCAACAAAAGATTTTCAGTCTTTTGACTCACTTTTTTTAATTCAAGCAATTGTTTTCAAAATTAATCTATGTTAATAACTTGAGAGAAAAAAAAAACTTGAAATTCCGAGTAAACAACAAACAACACATATATATAATTTGGTAAAAATGAGAACCAATCTTTAATATTAAAATTGTGAAAACCTCTATTTTTAATTATATGCAATTAATGTTATGATTAATTATGTTTAGTGCTTTTTTAATTAAGATTTATTTTAACTAAAAATATAATATCATTTGTATAATTAATAACACATATAATAATAAATATAATATCGCAAAATAGAATCATACATGATTCTCATAAATATAGATTAGTTCAAATAAAAACAAAGATCCCGTGTTTCCTTATAAGATCACCTCCAACGCTGCAATATTCTAACGCAAAACACTAGAGTTGTGTCAAATATCTGCTCCAACCCTGCGCTGAAATCTTGCGCTACATCAGATATGGGAACAGTGCTGCGCCAATTGTAGCGCAACACTGTAGCGCAGCGACAGATTTTTTCCTTTTTTTTTGTTTTTTTATGCTCTAAACCATATATGGTCTAGTGTGTAAATTTGCACTAATTCATATATGGTATAAACCATATATGGTCTAGTGTGTAAATTTGCACTAATTCATATATTTTTAAAAGTAACAGTTTTGAATCGGTACATAGATGTATATGTATCTTCTTTAAAAAATTCAATTTATTATAATTCATTTTTAAAATGAATAAAAAAATAATATATTTAATAGAGTAAAATGTAGAGATAAGGGCTGGAGATGAATGTTCAACTCTACTCTAGAGTAGAGTAAAGTCCACGCTAGAGTAGAGATAAGGGCTGGAGATGGCCTAAACAATCGGCCTTGCAAGTTGCAACAGATCTAAAATATATCACGTCAATAATAAGCCCGAACTCATTTTTACTCCCAAGAGGAGAAAATAAAAAAAAACAAACAAACAAACAAACTTACAACCTTTTTTTTTTTACCACTTACAAATTAATCCTCCAATATCACCGATCTCTGCAAAAAAGGATGGCCTAAGCCTAACATACTTCAACTCCATCCACAAGAGCTGGCAAGCCCTGGACCAAATATTCCTACCTTAGATACCACCCCATTTTCCTGGAACACCTTTATAGCAATCCTCAATACCCTCAAATTATCACTATTTATTCATTACCCTTCCCCTTTTCCCCATCCTTTTTTTCGCACCTCCATTTTTTTCCCTTGAATGGATTTTCCTACTAACACACTCAAGCAAAACAGAGCCTTTTTCTCTCTTCTCCTCAGCCTATCCTTCCTCTTCTTAATCACATTCTACTTCACTTCCATTTTCCCTTCCTCAAACCACCCCAAAATCATCCTCCCCTTAAACCCAGCCGAAAACTGCGCCGCCATCGAACAATTCCCCGACCGAACCTCGAGATGCGATTTCGTTCGGTCCAATTACGCCGCGTGCCGAGGCAAAGCCTACCTGAACTACCTCGACGTCTTCTACTGTGGGGCCCGCCCGCCGTTGGGCTATGCGGTGCTCGTGCTCTGGCTCGTCGTCCTGTTTTACGTGCTCGGGGACACGGCCTCCACCTACTTCTGCCCCTCGGTCGCGGGCCTTTCCCGGGCCCTCCGCCTCTCCCCGGCCCTCGCCGGCACCACTCTCCTCCCCCTCGGAAACGGCGCCAACGACGTCTTCGCCGCCGTCGTCTCGTTCGCGCGCTCCGGCGGTGGCGGCGGCGGTTCGGCCGCCGTCGGCCTCAACGGCGTGCTCGGCGGAGCCCTCTTCATCACGTGCTTCGTGGTCGGGCTCGTGAGCTTCGTTGCGCGGGCCCGTGTGGTCGAACGGGCCGGGTTCATCCGGGACGTCCTGTTTCTCCTCTTTTCGCTCGGTTGCCTCCTCGCGATTCTCGCGTTCGGGCGGGTCGGGCTCTGGGCCGCGCTCGGGTTTGTGTCGATTTACGCCGCGTACATTGTGACGGTCTTTGGTATGCAACTCCGTCGTGGCGGCGGAGGAGAAATCGAAGCGCCGTTGTTGGACGAGGAAAAAGGGCTCGTCGTGTCGGAAAAGTGTGGGCTTGTCGAAGTCGATCGATCGGGCGCAAAATTGTCGAGAAATTATTATTATCTCGATATGGCGGTTTACCTCGTGGATTTGCCGCTCTCCCTTCCAAGGAAGCTCACGATTCCGGTCGTGAGCGAGGAGAGCTGGTCGAAGCCGCGCGCGACGTGCTCGGCCGCGCTGGCGCCAGTGTTCTGCGCGGCCGTGTGCGTCAACCTAGCGGAGATAACCGATTTTCGAATTCGATCGGCCGTCTACTTATCCTCGGCTACATTGGGGTTCGTTCTCGGGTTGTCGGCTTTCGTTCTGACGAAAAAATCGAGCCCGCCAAAGAGACTCATGGTCATGTGGCTCGTCGGGGGTTTCGCGATGAGCATCACGTGGACTTACGTCGTGGTCGAGGAAGTCGTGTCATTGTTGATCGCGTTCGGCCACATTCTCGGGATAAGCACGTCGGTGCTCGGGGTCACGGTGCTAGCATGGGGGAACTCGTTGGGGGACTTGATATCCAACACGGCTCTGGCGTTGAGGGGCGGGACCGACGGGGCACAGGTCGCCCTGTCGGGCTGTTACGCGGGCCCACTCTTCAACACGCTGATTGGGCTCGGGTTTTCGCTCGTCTTTGCGGTGTGGGGGGAGTACCCGTCGAGCTACGAAGTCCCGGGCGACGGGGAGTTGTACGAGACGGTGGGGTTCTTGATGGGGGGTTTGCTTTGGGCTCTTGTGATATTGCCAAAGAGGGACATGAGGCTTGATAAGTCACTTGGGGTTGGATTGTTGGCAATTTACTTTTGCTTTTTATTCTTAAGGTTGGTGAACGGTGTGGGATTGCTTAAACTTGGGACATAGGATAGGATGCTTTTATGTTTGATTTTTTTTTTTTTTAGTTGTAAATTAAAGATAGAGCTCGATTATTCGACTCAAGATGCTCGGAATCGATAACCGATAACCGATGAGCTTGTTGATTTTGTTGCTCCTTCGAAGATGGAAGTGGGCAATGTTTTGAATCAGTGTCAGGTTATGTACAGCTTTTTGAAGAAATTGTTCAAGTGCCTCCAAACTTTTGTTGCATACCTTTTTGTTCTTTTGAGTTTTAGCTGAGCTCCAACCCTTTTTAAAAAGCTATGTGAATTTGGGTAATTTTGACACGGTCAACAAGGAATTACTTTTACCAATTCATCAATATAATAATTCTTACCGTTGGATAAATATATATAACACATATGCAATGTATGTTCGATCAACGAATAAAACTGTGAATCTGATGAAATAAATACTCTGCAATGTGAAACGAAAGGTTTGTCATTTTGACAAAAAATTCACTTATCTTTTGGCATTTTCTCTACTTGATAAGCATTGAATACGGGCACTTTGGATTTGGAAAGGTGAAGAGGTCCAAAGGCACAAATTCGTGTTCAATTCAAACAAAGTGACTACTGACAAGGAATTATAGTTTTCATTGTCCAAGAGACCCACATTTATTTGTCCAAACACTCACGAGTTTATATATATATATAATTACTAACTATGAATTTAGTGAAACTTATTTTCATTTTCTTCAAACAGGAGTTACATTTTTTTAATTAATTATTCAATAATTTGCTAAAATCGTTACACCTTAATATATATATATATATATATATATTTTATTTATTTTTTAGATCAGTTATTAAATTAATTCTAAATTTGGTAGCAAAATATTCAAATGTGTAACAGTTAATGTTGAAACTTAAAGTCGATTGGCACATTCAGAACTGTAACCGCTATATTTGGTTGCATTATTGGAAAAAATATATGATTGGCACATTTCTTTTTCTAAAAATCAGAAACACCAATAATTTTTTTTTATTTATGTTAATTTTCTTAATATATGCCACAAATATATAAATTATTTTATTCATGTTACTAATGTAAATGTTGCATGGTTAAAATAAAACTTAAATCTCAATTGATTTTGAATGATAAAAATAACTTAAGAAAAAATAATAATTTTTATATGATAGAAATACATGTTTAATTAATAAATATAAACAAAAACGTGTTTTATAACTGTACAAATGCACATGAATCGGATAAAAAGCAATAGTATAGCTAATTTTAGGTTCAATAAATCAATTTGGGTTCAACTTGTGGTCATATCAAGTCTAGCGGTGTAGTGGGATTTTGGATTTTCACATTTAAATTCAAACTAAATTAAAATTTACTTAAAAAGTTTCACGTAGTAGTGTGAGAAGCAAATTGTGTTTTCCTATTATCCATTTATTTGATCATAAATATGGAATAAAATAATCATTTTAATTTTTACCGATTTATTTTTATTTTTTTCTTGCTTTTATTGGTCGTATTTTGAATCATTTCGTATTGTATTATGTCTATAATGCTATTTGTCTCTATAATGGATATTTTAGGGGAGAAACATTGACATCCTGATTGGAGACTTCTATTTTTTAAACATTTTTTTTCTTTTTTGATACACTATTTTTTAAACATTGATGGTGAAAGTTGATAACGAAAAAAATGTCGTACTACTTGCTTACACATTCATTGCCGCCCACTTGCTAATTATTTGGCAATGCATGTGTACTACTTTTTCTATTTTATATAAAAGAAAAAAAAATGTGCTCAATGAATAGTGACAATTATGATGACCCATATTGTAACTTTTAAGATGTGAAATATGAACAGCAATCGATGATGAGTTTGTGGATAATATTAGTTTGTTTGATTACCTATATTCCATTGACAAATGATATTGTAATGCAACTAAATTGTTAGATGGATAACTTATCATATTTGTTGACATAAATAAATACACATTTATATTATGAAATAACACTCTTTTTCTTTTTTTAATATTAAGACATGAAAAAAATAAATATAAGAAGTTATGAACCTCCGACCGGCTATAAATTGGCTCACTCGAACTTCTCTTCGCCGGTAGAACATCGAGTACCTGCAAAGAACTTTCACACCGGAGGAGTTTTCTGGTGAACAACCTCCGATGCTTAAGTGAGTATAAGTTCTACTCAATTCTCAAAAGTATAGTAATGAAAATTGTGCTGAAATTGTAAAGCTCACCCCTATATAGGGGTAAGAATATTTGATGCCCGGATGAGCTGAGGTGGTTGCCCAGGTTGCCCGATTGTACAACACACTGAGGGTGTGCCAGAAACGATTATGTGATATGAACCACTCAGGTCATATCACGTGTCCTCTACACGTGGGGTTTGATTCTTCTAAAATTTCCTCGAAGGCTCGAATGTTCGACCAGGTCTAGGTCAATCAACTGACTACTCCGAGTATGTGAAATGGTTGATTAGACGACCGTTTGAGATGGTAATGGATGCTCAAATGTTCGACCAGGTCTAGGTCAATCAACTGTAATCCTAGTTCAGGCTATCTTTCTATCCAGCGGCTCTTATTCTCATTATGTTCGACCACGACCACACTTTCCTTACTTACTCGACCAGGACAATTCAGCCGGTTGCTCGACCGGTTAGTTAGATTGGCTTATTAGGCCAGTTTACTCCTTTGATATATTATCTCATATATATCACAATTAGTGGAAGTTATTTTTATTAGAAATAACTTATAAACAATTAGGTACATTTTTTTCAAAAAAAAATAAAATAAGGAGACCTACTTTCCATAAAGTATTGCCTTTCTGCATTTTAACTTTTTAATGGATTGTTTTTTTTTATTATTTTAGAACAAGTGGAATATACATAAATTATCCCATATTAGTGTTGTCAAGGGTATGATTGATAAATTTAACTAAAGCTAAGTCTGGACTGAAGGATTTACTGAGGGATTTGAAATCCATAGATTTCAAATTTACAAGTTCAAATCTTCATGCATGTTGTGATGGTAATGGATGTTAGAGGATTTCAAATTCATGCTAGATGTTTTTTAGTCATTATTCTGAAGGATTTTAAATGACTCCTCAAACCTAGTCATTTGAAATCTACTATTGACGACTACGCCGTCCGTGATCATTTAAGTTCATCACCACCGCGAGTCAACACCATCGGTGCGAGCTAGATAATTGATTTATAATATTTTTAACGCGTCCATTCAAGGAGGAGTGTGCAAGTAAAAAAATTTATATTTCAAAAATTTTGAAATCAAAAGATTTCAAATCCCTCAAAACAAACGGAGCTTAAAGGTAGTTAAGTGCAAATAGCTACTGTAATAATAATAATAATAATAATAATAATAATAATAATAATAATAATAATAATAATAATAATTTTTTAATTAATTAATTAGTCATAATTCTTCAAAATTAAAGATAATAAGTTATACATCACATCTTAGGATTTAGGTAATCGGTAGAGCCCTATATATGTAAGTATAGTAATTTAAATTTATATTGTCATTTAACGATAAAATTTAGTAAAATACAATATGCACATTATCGAGTGTATAAATAATTTTAAATTTTATATCCATACATATACTTTGTAATATTTTGTTCTTCGTATACTAGTTTTAAATAATATTAATATCCCCTCTTAATATAATTTAAAAAATACTATAATTTTACAAAAAAATTTATAGCCACTTGCATATTATATCTTTTCAATCCAACCATGGTAAATAATTATTTAAATGTTTTTATAATATCTATAAAAATACATTGAAATAGTTATAGAATATTACATGATCTTTCTAATATATTTTAAAGAGTTGAAATAAAAATAAAATAAATTTTGATTAACACCATGGTAAATAAATTATTTAAATCTTTTTAGAATATCTATACAAATACATTGAAATAGTTCATGTGTTTTTTCTATTATTTTATATTTTATATATTTTTTTTCAAACAATCCGTGTAGTACATGGGTGTCGTACTAGTATATATATTAAATAAAAAAAATTGTATCCAATGCAACCTAAAAGGAACCTGATGGCGATAAAGTGTTACTTGTGTCGTGCGAATTTAGTTGATATATGCTTACAGCACCTTTTCCAACGCGTTTCCCGCCACTTCCATGAGTTCCACTCTCCGTCAACTCATACACGCCAATACGCCATACTCGAGTCTGTCACTGTGGGTAGACTGAACAAGAAGAGAAGGAGAAGGAGAAGGAGAAGGCGAAGGAGAAGGCGAAGGAGAAGAAGATGTTGTGGGTGGATAAGTATCGTCCCAAAGCCCTAGATAAGGTTCTTGTACACCAGGATATAGCCCAAAATCTCAAGAAATTGGTAATTTTGCTGCAAACCCAAATTCAAATTGTTCTTTTTTGTGTTTTGAGGAGAAGGGATTTGAAATCAATTCGCTTTTACTGCATTGATTGTAATTTGGCGGTTTATTGTATAGGTGACAGAGCAAGATTGTCCGCATTTGCTGTTCTATGGGCCGTCTGGCTCGGGTAAGAAAACCCTAATAATGGCCCTTCTCAGACAAATTTATGGTGCCAGCGCTGATAAGGTGAGAGGTTATTAGCTAGCTTCCGAAGTCACTTTTATTGATTGTTCTTTAAGGTTTTGTTTGATAGTTTGTAATTTTGGAGGTAGGCAAACATCAAGTGAATTGTGTGAGTGAGGTACTACAGCTGAAACATTTGTCTACAGCTTATCATCCTCTGTGATTTTATCTACAAAAGCAAATTAAAATGATCTTTTTGGTTACTAACTTTCTAGGCTGTTCAAAATAATTTCGGATTTTATTTGTTGTATTTAAGACCCAAACCAAGTATAACCTTGTATAGTTATCCCTTGAATCTAAAGAGAAACAGTATAAGTAAAATAATAAGAAAGAAAGAAAGCTAAAGTACGAATTGACCCTCAATTTCATTGATGATGAGTGGGAAGTCTAGATTTTGATATGGAGTTCATAAAGTGTAAGTTGCTTTCTGCTCAGCGAATGAGGTTATTCTGATGTGACTCAGTAAATGTTACTTTGCAGGTGAAAGTGGAAAACAAGAACTGGAAAGTTGACGTGAGTTCTCCATTCTGCAATTTCTTTTGAGATAATTGTTGTTTAATGTAATTAAGAACCACAGATTTACGGTGTTGTTTGATCTTTTGAACGTTCTAACTTGAGTAGATCTCGAACCTTTTGTTTCCCAGGCTGGGAGTAGAACAATTGATGTAGAACTCACAACTTTGTCAAGCACGCACCATGTTGAGCTGAGCCCTAGTGATGCAGGATTTCAAGACCGCTATGTGGTGCAAGAGATAATCAAGGAAATGGCAAAAAACCGACCAATTGACACTAAGGGAAAGAAGGGATTTAAAGGTACCTGTAGCTTTCACCTCATCATAGTTTGGTAATTTTCAGCAGTGTCTTTTATGCTTTCTATTTTTCTGAGGTAAAAAAAAAAACTTGTGGATTGTAATATTGTTTCAACTTAAGATCCTCTTTTGCTGTTTGTAGTTCTTAGTTTTCCCCCTTCTTTTTCCTTCTTCTTCTTCTTTTTTATATTAAACGGCGCAATGCACCTTGGGTCGCTACGGAAATAGCCTCCTTGTATAATTACAAGGGTAAGGTCTGCGTACAACTGACCCCCCAGACCCCAACCTGTTGGGAATATACTGGGTATGTTGTTGTTGTTGTTGTTGTTCTGTAAGAACACTTGTTATATGAATTTATCTATAATAGATGTGATAATGGCATAAGAAGATCAAGAAGAAGCCTTCTACAATTCCTCCAATTTGGTTCCTGAAAGAATTTTATTGTTGAGTTCAGTAATTTATCTGTGCTGATGACGTGGCATGTGGAAATCAGTTCTGGTGCTGAACGAGGTTGACAAACTCTCGAGGGAAGCCCAGCACTCCCTCCGAAGGACAATGGAGAAATACAGTTCATCTTGTCGACTCATTCTATGCTGCAACAGCTCCTCCAAAGTTACTGAAGCCATTCGCTCTCGTTGTCTGAATATGAGAATTAATGCGCCAACATATGGAGAGGTCAGTATATTTTATAGAATATGTATTTTCAATATATATAATATATATTATTTCAGATAATGAACCTGTGTGCATCTTTTATTTATGACATTTCATGCTATATGCTTTTAACGATGGATATTACCAATTTTTTTACGAATCCATGATATATGTTCTTAAATGCCAGATTGTGAAGGTGTTGGAATTCATCGGCAAGAAAGAAGGGTTACAGCTTCCATTTGGATTTGCTGATCGAATTGCTCAGCTATCTAATCGGAGCCTGAGAAGGGCAATATTGTCACTTGAAACTTGTCGCGTCCAACAGTTAGTNCATTTTCCTGATAATTAGAAGATGCAATGTTTTTTTTCCTGCTCCAGGCATTTGTTTTGCTTTAAACACAGTTATGTCCTGATGCTGTTTTTTATTAATTTAGGTACCCTTTCACTACCAATCAACCGATACCCCCAATTGATTGGGAGGAATATGTTTCTGAAATAGCATCGAGTATACTTAAAGAGCAGAGTCCTAAAAGGTTTGATATTAATTTTCGGCACAATCCAATAACAACTACTTTTTTCTTAAAATGATGCAGTTTTGTAACCTTGTTCGTTATAACGTTGTACAACTGTCATCAACACTATGTCTGAATAATCGTACATTTATTTTCTAGGTTGTTTGAGGTGAGGGGAAAGCTTTATGAGCTACTTGTCAATTGCATTCCTCCGGAAATCATTTTAAAGGTTTGCATCTATACTTTTCTAGTTCAGTCGCCCAAGTAGAAAGGCATAGCTAATGAATCCAATAACGAATACCTTTTTTTTTTGTTTAAAAAAAAATTATTGCAGAGGCTGCTCTATGAACTGTTAAAGAAATTAGATTCTGAGCTCAAGCATGAGATCTCTCATTGGGCTGCATATTACGTAAGTTTATGATCTCTCATTGTTTTAGATTTTGTAATTATAGATGATTATGCTCCATATCTATTGGTTCATTTCCCCATGATATTAAACTTTTTTTTTTCTCTCCAAATTTCATGTTCGATAAACTAGTTTATCTTGAATTAGTAATAAGGTTATGTGTTTCTTTAGCAGAGGCTTGTGATTCTCCATGCTTGTCTAAAAAGCAAAATGCTCATTACGCTGGATATAAGCATACTTCAATAATGTTCAATAAATGTTCGTCAGAATTAGTTCTTTTTTTCATCAGTATAATATCTCTAAAATTATATTTTCTTCTCTCAGGAACATAGGTTACGTCTTGGGCAGAAAGCAATATTTCACCTCGAAGGTATGTATATCACGTTATCTTATTGAATTCTTTATGCTTATTATAATCTTTATACAAATATTGCAGCAGTTTTGAATTTTTTTTATGCTTATTTATGCCTTCATACAAATATTGCAGCATTTGTGGCCAAGTTCATGAGTGTCTACAAAGGTTTCCTCATCGAGACATTTGGCTGAATTGTCCGTGGAAATACAAATGGAGGGATTATTAATTTATTACTATGCTTCCGAATCTATTCTGTTTGAGTTTGTCTAATTTTGTTGTCACCTTTCTCAATACGGGCTTCTAAAATTTTTTATTTTGAGAGAATGCAGGTGAATTTTTAATCTTTATATGTGAAGTGTGAAAACCAAATTATTGGATGCACTCATCATAATCATAGCAAACACATCACAAATGCTAATCCTTTTCAAAATGATCTGCCTAATATCACTTGGGAACAAGGAGACTTGTATTACGAACAAAGATTTCGTAAAATAAAAATTAAATAAATCAAGGGCATATTTGAATCTGTTAAATTAAAAAGAGAGTATGTGGAGTGTTCTCTGAATCTGTAAAATGTAATTATTTTTATAATTTCAAAAGAATCATATGAATTTTATTTTTATTTTGTCAATTGTAATATACTGTAAATGAAATTGTTTCATATTTATGGCCATCTAACCTACTACATCAAAATCAATTACTATTTATTGGTAAGTTATAATGTATGCAATTTTATCGCCATTTTTGTCGGAAACAATGGGGAGAAAATCCTAATGGTACAAGAGCAGGAGGTTTTTCCACAAAGAACATAATAGAAATTGAGTCCAAATTAAAGCCCGAGCAAGTTAGAATTGAAACTGCATTTCAGCCGAATATCCGAGAGCTTCAAGATGACCGGCCATGGCTTTGTTCATCGGTGGCGGACCACATCTCAGAATCTGAAAAAAAAGGACCAACATTATGAAACTCAATATGCTTAAAAGTTAAAACTCTCTTCAAAATATATTCTTTTCCACACTATTTAGTATTTACTGAAAAAATTTTAAAATACTAGCTAAAAACTACCTGAATATCAGAAGCTGGTGCTGGGCAGTGAGCCTGAATCATTTCCTTGGACACAAAACCGACCCCACCATTCCAAACTTCAGGAGGCTGTAGAAAATCGGTCGAGCTCAACAATTATTCAGAAACTAAAGGGTAAATGCAACAAAAAGAATGTGTACAAGATTCCAGGATTTCTTTCATCTTTTCTTAATATCCCAAAATGAAAAACTAACAGACT